CAAACGGCACACCAGGCGACACTACTACAACTCAGACGGGACCTGACGAGCCTCTTACATAGGAAACACCACAGAGACGTAACCAGACATAAGGCCTTCTTCTTACTTCACGGCAATAAAAGCGGTAAGCTACTGGCCAGAATGCTAGCCAAACAGAGACAAAGGACGTACATTGATAAAATGAGGGACGGGCAGGGCACCCTACACCACCTACCCTCTAAAATCCTCGACATAACGCGGGATTACTACGCGAACCTATATGCCCTCCCCCGGCCCCCCCTAGACAGGGTGAAAGACAGCCTGCGGGAGAAAATACAAGCCTACCTGTCAGCTCACCCCCTCCCGTCCATAGACCAGGAAACCGCAGAAAGCCTAGACGAACCAATTTCGATAGAGGAACTAGCTTACGCCATTAAAGTGACGAAACAGGGTAAAAGCCCCGGTCCGGACGGGCTCCCATTAAAGTATTATAAAGCGTTCGCGGAACACCTATACCCCCCTCTCCTAGACGCCCTGAACGCACTAAGGGAAGGACACCACCTGCCAAAACAGTCACTGACCGCACACATCGCACTCATCCCGAAGGAAGGGAAGGACAGGGAACATTGTGGGAACTACAGGCCCATCTCACTTATCAACTGCGACGTCAAATTGTTGGCAAAGATACTGGCCACACGCCTCCAGACACAAATCCCCACTTTAATACACCCAGACCAGGTCGGCTTCGTCATGGGCCGCGAAGCAAGAGACAACACGATCAGGGCACTGACGCTTATGCACAGACGTAATTGCGGGGACGAGGGCGTTCTACTGCTGTCCACGGACGCAGAGAAGGCCTTCGACAGAGTCGACTGGCAATACATGTTCCATACACTGGCCCACACCAGGCTGGGACCGCACTTCCGGAGATGGGTCGAGGCATTGTACGACGGGCCCACCGCCCACATCATAGTAAACGGAGCCCTGACGAGTGACTTCCCCATCACCAACGGCACGCGGCAGGGGTGCCCCTTATCACCCCTGCTTTTTGTGCTGACACTCGAACCTTTTCTGACGCACATACGACAGGACGCAGCAATCAGGGGCTTTGGACATGGAGACACACAACACAAAGTCGCAGCATACGCCGATGACCTCCTCTTCTTTATCACTAACCCGGAGGTCTCGCTCCTGAATATTCTGAAGGCCTTCAGGACCTTCGGGGAGATATCCAACCTCAAGATCAACTTCACAAAATCCTACATCTTGAACGTTAGTATACCAGAACATAGAGCCTCCCCCTTAAAGCAGAGCCACACATTCCAATGGGCACAACATCAAATACAATACCTAGGCACATGGCTGACGAGGAGGGAACCTGATCTATTCAGACACAACTTCATTCCCCTACTAAACAGGTTCCGGAAAGACCTGTCAGATTGGGCATACCCACACATATCCTGGCTGGGCAGGGTCCAGGTTATAAAAATGAACCTGCTCCCACGCCTACTATACCTCATGCAAGCCCTACCCATTACCATCCCCAGATCATTCTTTCTGGCCCTGCGACAGGAAACCGGGAAATATATTTGGGACCGCAAAAGACTGAGGGTCAAACTAGCCGCACTGACGCTGCCCAAGGACAGGGGGGGACTGGCCATACCAGACTTCTCCCTGTACTACGAATCCTGTCACCTCCAACGAATTATGGAGTGGACAAAAGAGAAGGTGCATAAGAGATGGAAAGAGGCAGAGGAAACGGATGCGGGGATACCGCTGTCCATCGTCCCATGGTTGGGGGGGGGAGGGAGCGGGAGACAGGGCACACCCTACACAACCGCAACCCTACGGGCGTGGGAGAGAGTAGCACAGAGATGCAGACTAGCGCCATTCCCATCCCCCTTCTCCCTCTCATGCATAACAACAGCTTCCCACCGGGGCTGGACCCCAACGCATTCAAGGACTTAATCCGACATAAACTACCCAGACTACACCACCTCCTGGCAGGCACGGAATGCAAAACACTCCCGACCCTATTAGAGGGAGCAACCCCCACCCTCCTACACCACCTAAAACACAGACAGCTACAGAGCTATGTACACACCCTCCCAGGGGGCACGGCACGGAAACGTGACCCTACCACATTCGAAAGAATGTGTATGGACCCAGACCCGCAACCACACGGGATCTCACTCATTTACTCCATGCTACAGAGGGAAACACCAACGGAGAAACCCAAATTCATGGGGAGGTGGGAACAAACATTGGGGAAAACTTTCACAGACGGGGACTGGGAAAAGATATGCTACTTAACGCATCACTGCTCAGTCTTCAGCAAAACACAAGAAACGGCGTTTAAATTGTTGATGAATTGGTACAGCACCCCGATTGCACTCCATGCCATGGACCCGGAACACACGGATCTCTGCTGGAGGTGCAATAGAGCGGCCGGCACAGTACTCCACCTTTGGTGGGCCTGCGAAGCCATAAAGCCCTTCTGGCGGGGTATACACGGTTTTCTCAAAACCTTCTCAGACACGCCACCCCCTTCCTCCCAGAACACATGCTCCTTCACCACACAAAGTCACCCAGAACGAGATACAAGCACTCACTAACCATTAGAATTCTAAACGTTGCCAAACAGGTGATCCCTCAATTCTGGAAGCAACAAACGACACCCCCGTTGACATCCTGGTTCTCCCAAATGGAGGAACTCAAAGCCATAGAGGAACTCATTATGACCACATCCAACTCCTCGAATAGGTACACGGACATATGGACCCACTGGATACTGACTACTACCAAGGCAGAATTCACAACCAGGCTCCAATACGACATGTAAAGACACAGTGACGAGGCCGCATAGACCGACAAACACAGAGACGACCTAGACAGACGTGACGCGGACGCACCCCGACCCCCCCCACTTCCCCAGATGCCACTACCCGGACACCCCCCCCAATCCCAAACACTGCATGCGAACAGACAAATATTAGGCATACACCAGTGACAACATAAGAGAGGACTTATCAGGCCTCCGGGGAGAAGCTCACTCCTCCATGAGGGGACAGCAGAACACATGACACCCACACGCACGTTCTCCAGATC